TCAATTCTTGGCGCGAAAGGTGAATGGCATTCGCGGCGCACACACGAAATGTTTCCGCTCCCCCCCCCATCTTGCAAACCAGTTGTCATTCCACACACTGCCTGTTGCCGTTTTTTTCAGTTGCAACTCCCCCCCCCTTGTCTACCACTTCCTTTGTGTGATTGCGTTTGTTTGTTTGCGGGCTTTTGTTTTCCACTATACCACACACACACGCACACACGTCTCTCTGCTTTACCTTTTTTTTCTTTCTTTTTTAGACTCTTGGTTTTTTATTTTTTTGGGTTTGTGAACAAGCCTCTCTGTATCGGTCACAGGCCTCGCCCGCCCCTGCGCGCCCCTCCTCTCCCTCTCGCCCTCTCGCGGGCTACGACACCCCTGCCTGTCTGCTGCATTTGTGTCGGCTCAACCCAGGGTGGTGTCATATCGCACATTCCCCTGTTTTGCCCGCTCGCCCACTCTCCTTCGTCTCGCCGGCCATCCTCTTCCCACCGCCGCTCTTTGACTTGCTTGCCCACTGAACGAGCCAGGCTTACATTCCCGTTGCCCCACAACAACGTCACCCCGCTTCCTCCTCGGCTCGCCCGCCGGCCGTGCCTGCCAGCTCGCGGCCCCGGTAGACGACTCGGCTTTGGTGGTGTGAAACTTGGACCCTCTTGCCTCTGGCACTGGAGCGCCATTTTCGCCCCTGGGTCGTGTCGTGTCTTCTTGTGCCGTGTGGTGTCGCGGACCACTGCGCTGCTGTTGTTGTGACAACAACGCACATCCGAGCCCACTCCCACTGAGTGCGCCAAGGTTCACACAAACAGGAACCTGATTACACCCTGGGAGCTTGAAGACTTGACAGCCTCGGTCTTCCCTTTGCCTTGTCGGCCCTCTTGGGCGCTGCCTTCTGCACTCCTTATGGTTGGAGTTGTGTGATCTTGCGCGCCTTCCTGTCCGCAAATTGGCCTCCGCCTGTGGACCCTCTCGATTTTTTCCCTCTTTTTTTTTTTCCCTTGACCGTTTTCTCGTCTCCACCCATCGGACGTACCCACCCCTCTGAGCATCAGCCTTCCTTGCCCGTCCCACACCGCCATCATGTCGAATCCTTCTGGCGCCGCGCGGATGGATACGAGCACGGACAACAAGAAAAAGGACGTGGCTGCTGCTGGTGCGCACGAAGCCACCTCTGCCAAAAAACCCGCCGTCACGCGGCCGCCCCGTGACTCGCGAGACCGGCCCATGAACAAACTTTCCGTCAACCTCATTGTCACATACCGCCACATCAACGAGGTAGGCCACCCACTCTTTCTGACTCGCACACCCACAAGCGCCCTCAACACCCACACCCTCCCTCCTCTTCTTCTTTCGGTTCGCCTGTCCAGGCTCAACAAATGCCCCGCTCATCTCCGCCTGTTTGCTTGGTCATCCTTTTCCTGCCGCAAATTCTCGCCACCAACCAGGTTTACTACGCCAACAAACGCGCTCGCAAGGCCCGGGCCAAGAAGAACAATGGCTACGACGATGAAAACAACGACTACATCGTCAGGATAGGCGAGGTATGCTGGCCACTTCTCTTTTGCGTTGCTTGACTTGCCTGTCTCATGCGCTCTCCCCGCAGGCCCTGCTCACCGCCCGTTCCCTTGCTTTGCGTCTGCCCGTGCAACCACAACACCTGGATTTGTGCCCAGCTCTGGAATGATCGCTACGAGATTCGTGGTCTCTTGGGCAAGGGTTCTTTTGGACAGGTTGTGGAAGCTGTGGACAAGGAAACTGATACCCGCGTGGCCGTCAAAATCATCAAAAACAAGTCGGCTTTTCGCGAACAAGCACGCATCGAGATTGAGCTCCTCAAACGGGTGGCAACCAAGGACCCCACAGACTCGTACCACATGGTCCGCATGCTCAGGTGGTTTGAACACAAGGACCACCTTTGCATTGTGTTTGAGCTCTTATCCTTCAACCTTTACGACCTTATCCGCAACACCAACTTTCGTGGCGTTTCCCTCAACCTCATCCGCAAGTTTGCCATCCAAATCCTTCGTGGTCTTGCCTTTTTGTCACGCGATGACATCTCCATCATCCACTGTGACCTCAAACCCGAAAACATCCTGCTCCGCAATCCCAAGAGAACGGCGCTGAAGCTGATTGATTTTGGCAGTAGTTGTTACATTGGCAAAACGGTGCGCATCATTTTATCTTGATTCCACGTGCCTGCCCTCGAATCTGGCGACACTGAACCATCCGTGTTTGTGTTTCTCACCTTGTCTCCGTTTGTCCCTCCCCTCCCCTTGCGTTTCGCAGATGTACCCATACATCCAAAGTCGATTCTACCGCTCGCCAGAGGTCCTATTGGGCCTGCCCTATGACCAAGCCATTGACATGTGGAGCTTGGGCTGCATCTTGTTTGAATTGCACACGGGTGACCCGATCTTCAACGGTGTCTCGGAGCGTGACCAGGTGTACAAGCTCACCGAGCTGTTGGGCGTTCCCCCCGTGCACATGCTTGAAAAGGGTCGCAAAGCCGCCAACTTTTTCCGCAAGCTCGGGGATGGTAGCTATGAGCTTCTCCCCACCAAGCGCACATACCTCAAACCCGGCTCCAAAAGCCTCTCAAACATGCTCAACGCGAACCAGGGTGGTCCCGGTGGTCGCCGCATGGATGAGCAAGGACACAAGCCCGATGACTATGCCCGCTTTATTGACCTCTTGCGGGGTCTTCTCGAATATGACCCCGAGAAGCGACTCAAGGCTGCAGATGCTTTAAACCACCCGTTTATCGTACACGCCGATGCTGCCTCGCGGCGCTCGGACACAGCAGCCCACGATGCAGGCTCAGCCCGTGCCGCAGGCGTACCCGATCAGCTGGCGCGCCTAAACCGGATGTCCAATGCTGTTGCAAAAACCAGTGGCCGCGCCTCGGTATGATGCATCTTCTTTTCGACTGGATGTTTGTGGTCTATTCCTCTTTCCACTTTGCCAGCTCGCATTGTATTTGCTGTCTTCGCTCCGTGGTCAGGGAGGCCATGGTATGTTTGTTTCTCCTTGTGTTCGCTGTTGTGCTTTCGATCTCTTTTAGCATCGATGAACCCGGCCGAGCCGGCTTCTTCGTCCTCTCCAAATAGCCCCCACCGCTGCTTGCCGTCTCGAGCGCAGCAATGTGTGAGGGAATGGGTTGACTTTGTGTTTTGTCGTGGTCCGTGTACCCCCTCCGGGCGGGGGTCCCTGACACGTGTGTGCATGTGTGTGTGTGTTTGCCTGTCTCTGTCTCTCTGTCTAGTGGTGCTGGTATCAGTGCTTGTGCCAGACCATGGAGTCAACGGCACTGGCCCCCGTCTTTTCGATGAATCATGACTCGAGGGATGGCATCCATCAGCATGTCACCCCTCGTTCTTCTTGTCAACCATTCTAATCGCAATCCAAAAAACTTGTTTCGATCATGTCCACACATCCACAAAACCCATGTTATGTCATTTGTCAGCACTATTACCTTGTGTCAGTCTCTCTCTCTCTCTCTCTCCTCTCTCTCTCTCTCTCTCCTCTCTCTCTCTCCCTTCTCCTTCTCTCTCTCATTCACTTATCACCTTTCATCAAGGCGTGTCGAGTAAGTCACGAGCACGCTCTGGTTGCTTCTCCAACTTGCTCGACGGCGCGCGGCTTCTGGCGTCTTGCCGCCAAGGGGGAGGAAGGGGCACTGGCTGGCTGGCTTGTTGATCACACTTGGGCAGTTTGGGAAGAGACTTTGGCTCTAGGGTCAAGGATTCGAGTCGGTGGCAAGGGCACGCAGGGATTCAGGGCGTTGCCCATTTTGACCAGTCGAGTTAGCAGTCGCCTCACCACCACCGCTTGGCTTGCTTGCTCTGCTTGCTTGCTCTGCTTGCTGTGGACTTGATCCAAGACAATGACTGGTCGTACATGCCTTGCCTTTGTGGCCCTGGCGGTGGCTCTGGCTGCCGCCCTCCCTCTGGACCAGGATGCCCCCACCCAGGTTACCATCGCGCACCTGCCAGCCCCGCGCCTTGAAGATCCTTGAGCTTTGCTCGCCCCCGACCCTCCAACTCTTTGTGCTTTCCTCATCAGCCTTTGGCCCGCAGGTGCACATCAACCTCGGTGATAACGAAGGCACTAGCATGGTCGTCTCGTGGATCACCAACGCTGCGACCGACGGCTACGTCCAATTTGGCACAGATCCTGATCACCTTGACAGCTCGGGTCAGTTCCTGGACCCCAAGCCTTGTTGCAGCGCACGTCGTCATTTCTTTCTCGCACAAAGTTCTCCCACCTCTCCTTTGCTCATGCTTGCCTCCTCCAATAATCATCTCCATCGAAATGCTCAGCTGATCAGATGGAGAAGGCTTACCGTTACAACTTCCGCTCCACATACTCGCCCGAGGTCTACACCTCTGGCCTGATCCACCATGCCAACATGACTGGCCTCGAGCCCAACACCCAGTACTTTTATCGCTGTGGTGGCAAGCAGGGTACCTCCACCACCTTCAACTTTACCACCCCACCCCCGCTTGGTAGCGTTGAGGAACCGTGAGTACTCGAACCCTGCCCTTGGGTGAAGGAAACCTCAGGGCGCAACGGCCGCTCTCGTGTCTGACAAACCTCACTTCGCCTGACCCGTTTTCCTCAGCTTGTATATTGCCATGATTGGTGATCTCGGCCAGACCACTGATTCAATCAGCACCCTTGACCACATTCGCGTACGTGACTTCCCCCGACGCTCGCACGACTATGGCAAGCATTGACATCAACACTCTTGCCCTTGAGCTCTTCAGGCTCATCAGGTTTGGTGTTGGCTTGCTCATAACAGGCTGACTTTGAGGCGCACATCACCGTGCTCGTCGGTGACCTGAGCTATGCCGACTCGGCCGAACAAAATGAACCCACTCGCAACTGCACTCAGGTCAGGCAGCTAGCATGAGATAATGATCAGCGTCGAGCAAACATTTTTTTTTTTTTTTTTCGCGCGCGCGCGCGCGTATTTTGCTTGACCCGCGTTACCATATGCGGTATTGGGGCTTTTCTTCTCAATTTTTCTTCTTGTTTTTTTTTTTTTTCTTTTTGTTTTGACCTTGATACGCAACTCGTTTCCATCACTTTTGCTAATCCTCGATACCTGCGTGCTCACGCCGACTAATGGCATGCTGTGCGATCTCTGTTGGTGCTTGTGCGTCCCGTGGGAGTAGAAGCGCTGGGATTCCTGGGGCCAGATTGTTGAGCCTTACTTTGCTTACCAGCCACTAATGGTCCTTCCCGGCAACCATGAGGTGGAACAGGTGAGTTTTCAACCGCAAGGCCACAGTGTCGTCTACCATGCCATCGCTGAACGTGCCCGAGGCTTATTGTTTTATCCACATCTCCTTGATGCTCTCCGTGGACAGGTTGGCCCCCTGCCCGCCACTCAAGAACAGTTTCTTGCATACCAGAGCCGTTTCCGCATGCCTTCTCCCAGCAGTGGCTCAAACAGCGGCAACCTGTACTACTCCTTCAACGTGCGTTTTCCCTCTTCGTTCGGCGCCTCGTACATTGCGTGATTTTGCCGAGTTACGCGGCGCCTCACCGTTTAGGCCACGGGGAAACGCTGCTATTCCATTAGATTGGTCCTGCCCATTACATCATGCTGAACAGCTACATGGACTTCAATCATAGCGACCCCCAATACATGTGGCTTGAGGAGGATTTGCGCAAGGTGGGTCGGGCCAACATAGCACTCAAGCAGTAGTCCCGCTTCAGTCTGGAAATATGCTTATTTTCACGACACCGACCTTCCGTCCCCTCAACAGGTTGATCGCACCGTGACCCCCTGGGTTGTGTGCAACATGCACGCTCCTTGGTACAACTCGGATGTGCACCATCATGATGAGGTGAGGCTTTGCGAGCTATCCTCGCCTGCGAGCAGACGTTGTGCTGGCTTGATGGTGGCGGATGCTCATGTCGTGCCTTTTGCTCCGCAAACAGTACGAAGAGACGGCCATGCGTGCCTCTATGGAGGATTTGCTTCATCAGTACCGCGTCGACTTTGTCTTCTCCGGTCATGTCCACGCCTGTACGTTGGCCCGCCTGCTTCAGCCTCTGACTTTGGTCTTTCCACTTGTTGCGACTTGAGTTGGTTACAGCCGCGTGAACTAGAGTAGCGTTGACATCCCGTTTTGCTATCCGCATTAAATACCGTGACCCATCCCTGCTGTGGACTCATAGATGAGCGCATGTACCCCACCTACAACAACAAAACTGACCCGACTGGCACCACCTACATTAACATTGGCGATGGAGGTAACCGCGAGGGTCCTGCAGAGGGCTATTTCCCCCAACCCGAGTGGTCTGCATACCGTGAGCCTGTTTTTGGTCATGGTCGCCTTGCCCTCTTCAATGCCACCCATGCCCACTTCACCTGGCATAAGAACGTCGACTCGGAACCTGTGGTTTCCGATGACGTGTGGGTCATCAAGTCTGAAAGTGGCACCCGTCACGTGGGTCCCAAGTTTGATGGCGGTCACATCAAGCGCCAGTACGGCCACAAGACCGAGCGCGCTGGACCCATCCTCGCCTAAGCCCACCGAGTCACGACCGGGCTCGATGCAACGTCGTCTTTGTTTTTCTTGTTTCAGTGTTGTTCTCACGAATTGCACAAGAAACAACACTCATAGGGAGAGATCATCTCTCCAGTGACGTGCAGAAAGAACCAAACATGATTTGAAAGATAATTCCAAATCATTAAAGTCAGGATGTATTCCTGTCCTGACTTATCCGCTCCAACGAACCAAACTTACTTTTAAGAGCAGCATTATGCCAGGTCCCAGCAAGATTAACATCCGCATGGATATCGTTTGATTGCTTAGTTGTACATCTTCCGGCAATGCCACGCAAAAAGAAGAGAATGGGCATATTTCACATCTCTAGCAAAGAATTAAATTTTGACTCTTGAAAAGCGATCGGATTCGGTAGACAGCAACGAGCAGCCGCACACGTTCGAGAGATCCACATTGAAGTATTTAGCTGTTATGAGGAATCAGTAAACTTGTAAACGCAATCAGGGCACCACATTGTTGTCGATCCACGCAAACTTTCGGGAAACACAAATTCAGGAGAAAACCATCTCAAACCAAGGACAAACTCAGGGCCTCTCAGACAGATAAAAAAAAGGTCATTTGTGCAGATTTCTGCCCAGATATCCCTATCCAGATCCAGATTTAGTTTGTGTGAACATGAAAATTGACCAACTTAGGGTTGAAAGTCAGGCGACGCATCCACATGTTGAACACACTCTCGAACTACTGGATGGGCGTAGCGCTGAGCTTTCGTTTGAGCTTGGACTTGAGTCCGGAAGCCTTCGCTTTGCGAACGCGAGCTTTTCCAGCCTGCTCTTGCCGCGCGAGCTGAGCTGCCTCTAACTTCTTGCGGGCTCGAATCTTCTGTTCAGCAGCCCAAGCCTCCTCAAATTGACCGACAAATGTGGCCCAAATCTCGAAAAAGTCTGCCGGGGTCGGTGTTCCCCCGCCATTGGTGGAAAACATGAGCCACTTGATCAACCGCGTGAAAGCTGTCGACGCATGCCCCAGATCCTCTCGAGCCTTTTTGAGTAGCCCCTTGGCGTTGTCTAAAAAGCGCTCCATCTGTTCCTGGAATGGATGAACGAGTTCCTCCTCTTGCACATCGGAAATGATGCGATCAACCCTACGACTGCACGCCTGAAGCTCGCGCTCGAGCCGTGTGACATCCCCCTCCAAGTCCTCAAAAGTGACTTGCTGCGCAGCAGCAAACACAGAGGCGTCAGGCAGAGGGCAGGTCGTCTCCTCCACATCATCAGTCAGTGGCTGAGAAGCCATTTCCTTGACGACGTAGTTGAGCAAGTTTGAGCTATTATCCTACATGCACGTTCAATCGGTTGGGTCGAGGGGTCAATGGTACGCAAGAGAGGTGGAACAGTACACGGGTCAGCGCGCCAACGAGCGCAATCGTGCCATAAAGGTGTTGGCAGATCCTTGTTACCAATCGATGCACGATAACCACGAACCTGCGATTTAACGTCGCGAATTTTGGTCAAAATGTTGAGTGAAAAACCGTCAGCCTGCCCACGCTTCGTCCCGCCATTCATGTAGTTGCCCAGCGCCAAGATAAGCCCCAAAAGCTAATCGCACAAGCCACGGAGAAGAGTGAGGCCAGGCCTACGGCTGAAAGAGCCTCCATCACGCAATGAATCAGTTGTGTGCAAGCGCGTCGCCATCAAGTACTCACGGTCGGGATGGCCTTGCAGCTTCGCAAGCGGTCGCAGGCCCGGCCGAGAGCAGTGACACGTTCTTGCAAATCGAGGGCATTTTCGGCAAAGTTGGCTCGAAAGAGCCAACATTCTGCTCGCAACGCAAAGTGATCAATCTCGCTCACACGGAGGAGAAACTCATCTGCAGGCGCCAGGGGCACCTTTTCTGCATCTGGTCCGTTGATGTGCGACTTGATCAAGTCCAACTCCTCAGCGGTTGCACGATTCTCGTACAGGGACTTGATCTTCTCCAGCTTGCATTGGTTCTCATCCATGGCATAGAGAGCCGAGCCGATGGCAGCAGGGTCAAGCTTGATAGATCCACGCAGGATACCCACGGCTTGCGCACGTTTGCCATCTAAGGCAGTGAAAGTTCGAGCTGCCTTGGGCTTGCCTTGCTGACCATTATCTTCGGCCTCTTGAGTCTTGCGCGTGGCGCTGGGCTTCTGGCTAAAGGTTGCTTCAAACTCGTTGGTGTCAAAGGGCGTTTCCTCGAGTTTGACCCACAAGCAACCGTCATCTTCGTTGGCTTCCACCATGGTGCTGTCGGGTTTGACATTGCTAGCTTCGCCAAGAACCGGAGCTGGTGGCATCGGGGTTGAGGCCGTAGCCAGCATGGCTGGGTCGAGGAGGATCCGATTCCAAAACAATGGTCGCATTTTCTTCTCCGGCTGAATGACTGGTTTGCGGGGACCGACTGGTTTGGCCACAAGGCCACCGGGTCCACCTAATGGAGGAGGAGGAGCACCAGGGATGCCTGGGGGTGGAGGGGGAGGAGCACCAGGGATGCCTGGCGGAGGCGGAGGAGGTGGTGGTGCACCGGGAATGCCTGGCGGAGGTGGCGGCAGAGGTGGTGGTGCACCGGGAATGCCTGGCGGAGGTGGCGGCGGAGGTGGCGGCAGAGGTGGTGGTGCACCGGGAATGCCTGGCGGAGGTGGCGGCGGAGGTGGTGGTGCACCGGGAATGCCTGGCAGAGGTGGTGGCGGAGGTGGTGGTGCACCTGGGGCACCAGGAGGAGGCGGGGGCGGAGGTGGAGGTGGGGGCGGGGCCGGAGGTGGGGAGGGCAAGACTTCAGAAGGGGTCGATGTCAATGGTGGGTGGGTGTTGATGGAAGAAGATGCACTGCGGTGCTGAGACAAAACAGCCCACACGCGCTCTCCCACGCTAGCAGCTCCAGGAAGGGTTTGTAGCGCCTCAAGGGTTGACGTGGACAATCCCACGCCGGCGTGTTGTAAATCATCCACCAAAAGACGAAGGAGATCCGTGTACTCGCGCCCCTCAACCTGTGTGGCAGCCTCTGTTTTAGAAGAGGCCGCAACTGCCTCCAATGACGCAGCCGGGGAAGAGGACCCCGGTTCTTCTCCCTGCGCAAGTGCTTCAAGGGGGGCAGCCTCATGAACCAGCGCGCTCAAAGTTTGTGAATTTTCCACGAGCTTGGGCTCTGATGTAATGGTTGAAGCCAGGTCACACCCAACAAAAAAAGCGCCATGCACATGGCGACCCGACACGCGGGGATAGCGCTTCCGAGCCTTGACGAGATCAACGCCATGTGGTGCGAGGAAAGGTAAAAGATCCTCGCCTTTGAAATTGGGCAGGCGCGTCAAGCCCACGTACTGCGGTTCGGAGAGCGCAACCAAAAGCTCGTGGTCTCGCGGTAAGCCCGATACCCATTTGCGAAAAGCATCGATCAAAATTTTGACGCGCACATAAATGTCTGGGGCGAAAGCGACGGTGTCTTCCCCCACAAAGGCTTGGAATAAATTTCTCAAAGCCATTTCCACGGGAATCTCTGAAGTAGGCAAAGGGGTTTCGGCAGGCGCCTTCAATGTTACGGCGTCGCCTACTTCGATGGCCGCTGTGACGGGTTGATCCTCAGCTTGCGCCTTTGCTTCGGTGGGCGATGCAACCCCGGCCAACTTTTCAGCTCCTTGCTGAGCCAGTTGAATCGCCTCTGCTCGTGATGCCCACACGGCATCAAGAGCCTGCAGATTCTGAATTGTGCCATCCGCAGTCCGCTGTGCACACGAAAAGTCCAGCATGACGATAAGCATTGTTGCCTGTTGCGTGCCGGCCTCAACGACTACCGTGTCTGGAAGTTCGCCTGGAGACGTCACTGTGTCTGGCTCAGACCAAGCCATATCGAGTGCGGTGCCATGTCTCTTGATGCACTGTGTTAGTAAGGCCCATGCTTGCGAGTGCCGGCAGGTTGAATCCAGGGCAGGTGGCGTTGGTTCAAGGGTGGCAACAATATGCCACAAGCCGTCACGCCACGTGCCCAGAGCGCATGCCTGTACATCTGCTGTGGTTGTGGTTGAGTGCCAAGCGCCGAGCAAGCAAAGATGGCCTTGATGTGGGGGAAGCTGCGTAGCGTTATGTAACAAGAACGGCCCATGTGTTTGCGCCGTGGTCAAGGCAGCGCGAGTCACGAGCATCAGAAGAGCTTGTGCCTGAGAGCTAGCTTGTTGCTCCTGCACTTGATCCCAGGCTGCCGTCGTCATGAGGGCAGCCTCTGTGATATCGTCTAGCACGGCTGAGGCACTGTTTCGTGCAAGATTGTCTCCAGCCAGATTGCAGCCCTCGGTTAAAGAAAGCGGAACGAGCGCATCGGCAAGAACACGTGCGACATATTGTGTCTGGCAGGCATGTAGGAAGACGGCCACATTCGACATGTCCTGCACCAAGTTGCGGCTAGCAGCAAAGGGTGCATGCGCGTCGAGCTGGCTTTGGAGGGCATGGACGCGAACATCAACATCATGCCAGTATTGGGCCCGCTGAGCACGCCAGGCGTCCGTGGAAGCAGTGCGTTCTGTGTCAGTGGCCCGCTGAAGCCACGGCGCTGGCAGTGTTTGTATGGGGGCAGCGAAGCGATGACCCAATTGACCCGGGTGGCCAGCAAAGCGACCAGGGTGCAGAGCCTGAGTGCACAGGGGCGGACTCGGTGAGCATGAGGCTTTCAACCAAGCAGGTCTGACAATTCAATAAATTAACCGCCAAAAGGCTTTGCTCTGGTTATTTGAGGCGCGCATATGTTTGTGAGTGAACGCAGTGTGAGCACATCCTACCTGGTGCCTGGGTTGGTCTGGGGAAGATGGCTGGCGCTGGCGGCGCCGTTGCTCCTGCTGAAGCTGCTGCTGCCGGGCGATGAACTGCTGTTCTTTTTGAGATAGCTCCGCCAACACACGTGCGGCATGGGCGCCTTCCAACTGCGCCTTGCGTGCTTGAACGGCTTCGATGCGCGCATCTAGATTGTCATGAATAGCCGCTTGCTTCTGCTCACGGCGAGTCTGAGCTGCCAGATGCCGCTCAGCTGTGGCCGAGACGGAAGCCAGAAGTGCTTCTTTGGCAGCCTGATCCACGCGTTGCTTGCGCTGACGGACGCGCTGAATGCGCTCGCTGCTGCTCATGCGGCCTATCCGGGACACGTCATTGTCCGCCCTGGCCTTGCGCACGAGGGTATCTGGTCTGTCGTCCACTCCACCAGATTTGGACGGGGCCAAAATTTCAGGCATCGGGTTGTCGGCACTTCTCCTATCTTGGACCAGCTCATGCGCGTCAACCGGGGTGCTGTCGGGTGTGGACGTGGGTTCGGGTTGGGTCACTGCGAGAGAAGAGGGCGGAGGAGATATGCCTAGGAGGACAGCCAGTTCTTGCTCCAGGTCTGCCTCACTCGACTGGTTCTCGCTCTGTGAGGAGCTCTCGAGGACTTGGTGAGGAGGGGGGGACCGGGGCAGCGTGGCATTGGCAGCAGGAACCACAGCTGCCACCGTGCTGGCCCGGGGCGGATCTCCATCGAGAAAGGCATCTTGGTCATGCTCATGCTGATCGGGGGCTGGCGGGAAGCAGTTGGCACAGAGCACATATTTGCCATCGCACATGAGGCATTCGTTGGCAGCGTGGCCAGGCCAGGCGGTGCTTCCACAGGCCGAGCAAGGGGCAAAACCGGGACTAGATATGCTGGCTTTGCGGCTTGATCTGCGGCTAGTCTCTGAGGCCGGCTTTGAGCGCGGCGGGCTCGTGGTGCCCTGTGCCAAGGTCAGTGCCACATTGAGACCCTGCGTGCTGGGAAGTTCGGACAACGAGGAGGCAGTCGAGCGTCGTCGTGAATGCCGGGAGCTGCGGCGCTCACCCCGCGACCTGCGGCTCTGGTCGGCTGGCTCGTGGTTGGAGGCAGCATGCCGCGGGCTTTGCGCCGATTCCATCTTGTTCAGAGTGAAGTTTAGTGCCGCGAGCGTAGCATCTCTGGCTCAGCTGCTCTGGCCAGTGCAAATGAAGAAAGCCGTTCAATCATGCCAATGCCGAGGTGTGGCCGCTGCAACATTGCTTCACTCGCAGGTCGTCATTGTCGCCCGCGTGTGGGTCGTAGACTGCGTCTCGCAGTCAAGTCAAAAAGCCAACTGAGACAAAACACCAGCAAGCCCTCTCCATCAACAAACAAAAGCTGCGCAGGCCAGTGCATGCACAACCAGACCGATGGGGGGGCTGGGGCACAGGAGCGATACGTACCTTGGATCCCCTGACGTCGATTGAGCCCCCGACAGCAGACGTGAGTTCCAAAAATCCACACGGAAAGAGAAAAAAGCACAAAAAGTATTTTACAAACGATGGCCATTGCATTTATGGTTGCATGCAAGAAGGCAACTCCCAAGTCGAGGCCAACATTGTTGATGGGGGCAGACGGGGGGGACAGGGACGTGGCTCCAACTCGATATAAACATTGACGGCGCTCGTCCGTTGGAGGTGGCAAGTGTCCTTGTTGTTCAAATATTGGCGTGCTTATACCTGTCCATGTGGTGGGGGTGATGTGTCTGCGCCGAGAACCCGATTGAAGGTCGATTGAAGGTCACTTTGGTCTGTTAATCTAAGGCCGTTCGTGGTTGCCGGCGGCGATTCGGCAGCTGGCTCCGGCCAGACGATCTGTGCCCAGCAGGCCATGTCCCGGCGCGTCCAACCTTGGCACATGCAGCTTCTGGCTGCTTCCGTCCTGATTAGCTCCCTCCCGTTGGTCTGTACTGACCCCACCACTCGCAGTGGTGGGGACAGCCTTGCGTCGTCTGCTCGCACCGCACGCAGCGACTGGCGCGATGGATCACACACTGGGGCTGGGACGCAGAGCCGTGGCCAAATATCCGTCGGACAGCTGGGTGTCGTCCCGACAGAGAGCGAGATGCAAGCATTGGAGATAACGGTTCGAAATGAGCTCTTGCAGGACAAGATGCAGCCCAACTTTTGGTCCTGTCCCGAGTTTATGAACGAATACCGCTGGAAACCCTTTGTGGCACCAGTTCTTCACAACGGGCTCGGTAATCTTCTCTTTGCTATTGCTGGCGCCTGCAGCTTTGCTCACCAGTTGAACTTGCCCTGCATCGTCGGCTACTGGCGCATTGATCGGTCGACCAAGGATCCCCGCGCGTTTGAACCCTGGGGCGGACACCCACCTCCGTTCGGCCCGCACATTCAGCTTGGACACGTCTTTCCCGCTCTTCAATGGCTTTCCTGTCATCCCCGCCCTCCGGTGGGCACCAATGTTCTTCCGTAAGTTGCCTTGCTCTGCTCCGCTCATTTCCTTCGGTCCCAACACCGGCCCTTGAGTCACTTCTACCACACACCGTGCATACAAAGCCTCATTTTGGACTGTGCGCACCCCCCATGTCTCAGCCGCCAGCACCTGCCTTTCCGCAGTGACCTGGTGCTGGAAGGTGCCTTTGAAAACTATGTGAACCAAGGCGAGCCCCTTCTCATACACTCGTGGTTTTTCACAACTCGGTGGTGGAATCACTCGCTCATTACCCAGCTGCTGCAACCGCATGCCGCCGTGATCCGAGGCGCGCGCCAAGCCTATTTTCGCTACCTGCACTCAATGTGTGGTGACCAGTGTGCTCTCTTTGAGACTGTCTCAGTTCACATGCGTATTGGCTACGCCAACGAAACCGATCCAGATGCTCTCGCGCAACGGCGCTTGCCCCCGAGCGCGTTTTATCGGCATGTGTTCAAGCAGCGTTTCTCCCGCCGCACCACCATCTACCTGGTCTTCTCCGACAACCCGCAGGAGGCAACATGGCGCCTTCGAGCCTTCCGAGGCATCAAATTTCGTGTGGTTGACGCCAACGCCATCACCTCACTTGTTCTCATGACCATGTGCCATCATCACGTCCTGACGACATCTACCCTCAGTTTTTGGGGCGCCTTCCTACCATGCCCTGACTGCGTGAACACCCAAGACCCCCCACCCTTCCCACGCGCCCGGCCGCCTGCAACCATCATTTACCATGGATCCTTTGAACAGACCCATGGTCCCACCCTGGTTGCCGCGATGGATGGCTGGGGCTGGATCAAAATTACCAATCCCCAGCTGCGCTCCGAGCTAGGGTTGACTGAGCAGCAGCGGAAGAACATTGCAGATATTCAAGCTCGGCGCCGACAAACCACCGTGATTCCATCCGTGTAGATAGTAATAGTTGACATTTGATGCAAATCCCCACTCATGAAAGCAGTTAATTTGAGCGTCTGCAAATTAACACCAAGCAGACCGATGTTCCTCTCTTGACACTTTTGCTACCAGCCACCCTGGTCCCGCACATGAAGTTGGATCCTTAGTAATAGTATTGGGCGCTTTGCGCCGCGAGAACTGCCTCGTGCTGACCACTATAGGTGCTAAAGGCTGTGCAGAGTAAGCATCGCCAAACAGGTGAGGTTGACGAGCAAAATCCAATCCCGGGTACGGAACTCAATCGAAATCAGGCTAGCATTCTTTGCATTCGGCCTTGCCTTCCCTCAAACGCCTGCATCCCCCTTTTCGGCCCCACCTTGATCTGCCATGTTGCGATTAAGAATGCGAGCTCCGTGCGCGCTACTTTCTGCCAGGCGGCCACCTATAGCTTGATCTCCAGCCACGTCTAGCTGCAGAGATGAAGATCCCAACAGTGTCAAGTGAGCGTCAAGCCAAATGGCGAGTGCTCATTTGGAGCTGCCAGCCGACATCGGCGCGAGAGGGCCCGCCGCTCGCTTCTCCTACTCTGGTTGGGTTGAGCCACTAGCCCAAGTAGTCTTGTTTGCGTGCCGACGGCGCTTACTTCGATTGGGCCCGCCTGTGTAATTTGATACGGGATAATCTGGTATGGAGCCGTCGGTGACTTGCTGATGCTCAAAAGTCGTCCAGCACCATCCCCGGGAGCAAAGTGTAGAGCCAAGCGAATGTTGACGCTGTGCGTTCCCGTCCAACCCAACCAAATCAGACCAGAATACGCATGAGCGCCATCATCCGTGTCTCCACTTTTTGTGACATATTCTCATGGGCGATTCATACCTATGGGCCCAGGTATTGCCCAAGGCAGCCGTGACGTAGGCCTCCGCTGTTACCTCATCGAAACGGGTGGTAATCTGGTTCGTGACCAGCACCTGTATCAAAAGGAAACCGGGTGGCGCACGGTCAGAGCATCCCAGGCGCACCGGAGGCATCATGGGGTGCCCCGCCTCAGATACTCCTGCTTGGGCGATGGCACTTCACGGCACAGAAGTCTTCCACCGCATTTCAAGGCATTGGGCTAACAGACCGGAATGCTACTTCTGGTTGCGGTGCGCTTCAGCAATGATGCTAAAGTTGACAAGTAGTCAGCTTTGCGAATGTTATCGAGCGCGAATTCCTAACAGGCGAGACACAACCCATGGTCAAAAACACCAACCAGCTTTTGAGTTTGCGTTGACAAACACCATCAAAGTGGCCTAGCATCATAGCACAGCCCTGCTCCGAGCAAGGCAAGCAGACAGCTGACACACGCAAAAAAAGTTTATTAAAGAGCTTCACCTTGCGAGTCAGATAGGCAATCGAGTCAATGATGACCAGGCCAGCGTTGGCGTCGCACACGAGAACTTCCAGTTGTTCAAGACTATTCCCGCATTCGATACATGCATAAATTTCAGATTAGATGCGCGATGCACTCAGGGCCAGGTGAGGGCGTCTCGTGCTGCAACTTGCTTGCAACAACAAGCACGACGGGGAGCAGCCGTGTGCGTGGGGAGTCTGCGCACATGTCTCGAAGCTCGTCGCAAGTGGTTGTAAAGACCACACGCACGGCCGTCGCTATCTGTTTGAGGGCTTGCAGATCGGTGTCCGGGAAGCGATGTTGGACCATTTCCACCAAACTACAGGACGATTTGCGCACGCATCAGCTCTGCGTAACTTTTAAGCATTGCAACGATGGGCTTTGTAGGGCAGCAAGTCACCGACCGCTCGCTTCGGAAGGCGCCTTCGGTGTCAATGTAAAGCACAGACTGATCCGGGCGCAATTTCGCCAGCTGTCATGGGCCACCCATCGCACAACTCGCATGAGGCATGATCGGCTTGCTTTTTGAGGATGAGGGTCGCGAGGAAACGCAGCCGGTCGTGGCATCACCAAGTCCAGTTTGCAGTTTGGAAGGAGCGAGATTGGTTGGTTCGGGCCAACACGCGAATGCCTGTTGGGAATGAGTGAAAGGGCACGGACTCACCGACGCGGCAAGCAAGGTACAAAACTGGGTCTTCCCGCTTCCAGGTGGGCCTACAAGCTGTGTCGAGGATCAGAATTCAAGTCAGCAAAGACATCAGTTGGCTTGCTCACATCCCACCTCGGTGATACCCTCCGCCGGCAAGCCTCCACATAGAGCCGCATCAAGCGTGGGCAAGGTGGTTGCAACATGCTTGACGTCAAGCAAGCTGGCTGCCTGAGGATCAAGGGCATGGTGGTCGTTTGCGCGTTTTTAGTCGTTTTCGCGTAGCTGGGAGGGCGGGGAAGAAAGGCAGGTGCTGATACCGTTCTCAGGCCGGGGGCGACTTCGGTGGCAATCTGGCCGAGAAGGCGAGCCGCAGCGTCAGCTGTGAGGCCAAACTCCACCAGATCATCCTCCGTGACCGTCAGGACATCCCCGCATGTTTGCAAGCCCTTGTTCATGAGCAGCGTCTTGGCCTGTTGATTTGAGCAGACAATCGTATCAGGAATATCGCCAAAGAAGGCGAATCGCAGAACAGGGCCCGAGTTGGCAAGTGTGCATTCGTCTTCCAAGCAATGCCCCACCTCATCATCAAGCTGCCTTAATCGTTTGATTTGCCGCTGTGCCATGGCTGTTCGCGCGCCGTTTCGCTCACACCATCGCAGGCGCCACAAAGCTGCAAAGTCAAAATGAAGAACAAAATGCCCGCAGGTTGACGGATGTCAGCCGCTTTTTGGTGAAAAAACCAAAAACAAGTGAGGGATGACTTGGTTGAGAAAAGGAAGAAGAACTGGGTGATCACATGGGAGAAGGACATGCGGCGTTGACCATCGTTTGATGCGCCACACGGGCAGGGTTTTGGTGCTCACGGCAAAGGGATTAGGCAATTCAATTTTGTCTGGTGTTCTTTCAGGTCAGATCCCATTTGTGTCACTCTGGTCGGTTGGGTTGTTGTCAGGACGGCTACGGGCTGGCTGCTTGCACCCCTCTGGGACGCATTGCCAAAAATGCATCGAAATCAAGCATTAGCTAAAAAATGTGGGGGATCTCCAAGAGGTGCCACGGTGCTTGTTCTCGTCGTCTTATCGCATCTGTAGAGAGGCTTGCAAGTCCGGCCCCAAGTGTGAGCATAGAAGCGCCGCTTGTTCAGAGACATCAGCCACGAGCTGTGCATCGCGCTCCGATGTCAGTGTTGAAGCACGCGCCTGTGTATGAGACAGATTGTAGCCATGGTCAGTATACGCGTGGCCAAGCAAGAAAGGTGCAATGCAAGAGCATAAACATGGTGTTGAGGCAAATTTCGCTTGGCCACTCATGTGTCGGTCATCATTTACATACAAGAGCTTTGCGCACGCGAAGCAGAACGTCAATGATCTCGACCTCAGAGCTGAGAAAGCGAGGAATGTCGGTATATCGATAAGCCTTGGCATGTAGCGTTCGTTAAACCATTTCCAGAACAAGGCAGTCGGCATTGTCACGTACCCGTGGGTTGCAAAACCATTGACGTCAAGGTCTACCACAGATTTTAGGAAAAGACTGCCCAAACCAAGCGCCAAACAGGAGTATCAGACAAGAACAAGTGAAAAGCTTCTCAGACAGGGAGCCAAAAATGGAAGAAGAAGAATAGGATCAGCAACGGAAAACAACAACAACAACAACAACAACAACAACAACAACAACAACAACAACAACAACAACAACAACAACAACAACAACAACAACAACAACAACAACAACAACAGCAACAGCAACAACAAGATCAACTCATCACAAGGACAGTATTCAAGCTCCCATGCCGACGAGCCTTTAAACGTCGGGCTTGCTTACCGCAGAATTTCCACTTCGGCAAGCTGTCGTCGAATTTTCAACCAGCCACGGAAATTGCGACTTTTCAAAAAAGATGCATACAATGCAAGCCAATCGCCGTTGCGCTCCTGCTTCAGAAGAGCCATACTGCTCTGAAGTGAGCTCAGGAACTGGCGAGCATCAAAGTCCTCGAGCCGCGGAAGATCCTACATGCAAACCACAACATAAAATCAGAAATCAGAAACCGTGTCAACGGCAGCAGTGTCGATGTCAGCCTTTTGTGCAAGGTTCTTGCTTGCTTGAGATAGACAACAGGACCAAGCTACGATAATTCAATCCAGCTGACCTTGTGTGGCGAAATCTCCTGTAATTTTGGCATGAGGCGGGCGACATAGCGCTCCAAAGGAATCATAAAGGTGCGTGTCAAGCCATCAAATGATGCACGCAAAAGCAGGCCCTGTGTCCAGTTGCAAAAAACAAGATTTCGTGAGGGTAGGCCGCGAATTGTGCAAAGCAGAGGTGGGTGGGCATTGGCAAGAAAGCAGCACGCACGCCTTCAACCGCTTCGGTCACGGTTTCGGCAGACAGCTGCAGCAGCGTCTTGATGGTCACGTGGTCCGACTCAAGCTTGGTGCGGTACGGGGAGCTGACGGAATCGACCACCTTGCCCTTCTTGACCGGGGCTGCACATATAGGTACTGGCCGAATCAGGTCGGGGTCTGTCAACGCGGCGGCGGAGTGCGGAGCGGAGCGGCCAACCGGCGTTGGTCGCGGCTGTGGACTGCACGGCTCCGATCTCATGCGCGGGGAAGAGCGCATGCCCGCACTAGAGCGGTCCACCGGTCGACGCGGAGGGGGGGAATATGGTGATAGGTTGACGCTCAGAACGCTATCGGCCATGCTCACATATTGTGAGGCGATGACATCGCCGAACCGATGAAGTTCGTCATGGTCCACTGCCTCCTCATCCTCGCCTTCAGCCTCCTCTTGGCGACTGCTGGGTGGTGCTTGAGAAAAATCGCTCGAAGTACCTGGAGATCGATGGTCTGAAAGCTCACTCAAGTCGGTGCCATGGCGGTTCAGACCATCTACAGCAGATATGCTGCGATGGAGTGATGTGGGATTCTCCTTCACGGTCAGATGGTCGAGCGGGTTGAGATGACGCACGCCCGTCACGGGCGAGAGGTCACGTGACGCAGGAGGACGCACGGGTTCAGGGCCAAGGCTGCTGGTGCTCGAGTACCGCTGGCGCCTTCCTAATTGCTGCGGGAGCCCGCGCATTGAAGCGACGCGCACTATGGTCGGCCATTGGCCAAAGGCTTGCTCAAAGTATGGATTCGTCACGCCCAGGATGGCGCTGACCACGTCACTCCCACCCGAGGCAGTGTGGGCCTTTCGCTTGGCTTGGCTGAATGCTTTGGCATAGCGGGGACAGTCACCGTCGTAAATGGTGAAGAAGGGGCGGAAATCAGCGTGGTACTCCAAAGGCATGATCAGGGAGATCAAGGCCAGCACGAGGCGTGAGGTTACGACCGGCGTCTGGCTCATGACTACAATGGGCGCGGCCGTCAAGACAAGCTCCCACAAGAGCTGAATGTGGCTCAGCACGGGCTCAAGACAGAGATAAAGATCCAAGGCTTGCTGTTGAGCTGCATTGAGTGCGGAGGGTTGCAGACGGGCTTGGGCATAGAGCATGGACGTAACGTTAAAGTCGTCTGGTACTACGAGCTGAAGGATAGGCACGACACAGGAAAAGGAAAAGCAGAAAAAAAGATTGGTGAACCAAGCAGCTTAGTTTGAGCTGCCAAGACACAAGACAAATCAATAAGCGTGCGATGTGAGTGAGTGTGTGTGGTCAGAGCTTCCGACCTCGACGATATGCTGCAAGAAGTTGTCCTCAACACTTAAGCCGCGACGAGGGCCGGGCCAATTGCAAACATCAGCACAGGCTAGAATGCGCAACAGGCAGATGGTGTTGATGACGTGAGCAGCTGCAGTGCATCTACCCTCTGTGGCAAGGGCGATGGCGATGGGCGTGCATTCTCAGAGCTTCATACCTGCGGCCAGGGCTCCTGCCCCGGATGAAAAGTATGAGTGGGCTAGGTGCTGTGCCAAAGTACCATAAAGGCCAGCCAGGGGCAAACTAGAAATGACCACGACCGACTGTGGGGTCGGATGTATGCGTTGGCATGAGTTGAGTCGAACATGCAGACAGGTTGGATGGAAGGGCAAAAACACTTATTTGTTTCAGCGAAATGTCACCGACCTTTTGGAAGAATCCTCGTCGATTACGTGCATCGGGTACTTGGCTGCATATTGATCATCAAGCGAGTACGATGAGGCAGGGCAAAAGCACGCACAAGCCACACGGGCTGCGTGTGCGAGCTCCATCCAGTATCCGTACCGAAAGTAGACGTAGCCATAAAAGTAGCCCGGTCCGCCGTCTTGCCCAGCGCGACGATAGACACTGTCGGCAGGCCGGCTTCCTGTGCGAGAGTTGGTAAAAGTGCTGCTACTACTGGTGGCACCTGCGCCACGGTACGTGTGCGGTGTAGGCAGGTGATGGCAGGTTGGACAGCGACCAAAGTCAAGGCGCTCAGCATTGGCATGTGATGCTGAATCAGCGTGGGGTGGGCTTGAGCACTGGCAATACTCGGTCGCAGCCGAAGTCGATGCTTCCATATCCACAGAGATCTTGGCCGATCCATCTGCGTCATCATCATCATCGTCATGTTCGCCGCCTTGGCCATAAGTTGCACCCACAGCGTCAGCCATGCCCGTAGGGATTGAGCTCGCATCAAGTCCACTTCGGCTTTGCACGTAGTCCACAACAGCTTCTCCCAGTGCTTTGTTTTTGCGGGAGACAAGATTGCGGAAGCGAAAAACAAAAGTATAGTCGCCGGTCAAGCCTAAACATGACGACAGCAAAAATAACATGTGGGAGATTAGGGGGTGGGGTGATGATGGCAGCCACGGTGAGAGGACTCCCCGTTGCCAATGAGGTAGAGCTGAGAGACACGGGGCAATGCAAGAAGCAAGGGGGCCGAGTAATCACCAGAGTTTGAGTCTGGAAAAGAGAGAAAGCGGATGCTTTTGAGGATTTTCTCGGGAAAGCATGTTTGTGGGGGCTGCATGCATTCGATGGCTTGGCCAGCCTCCAGGTCGAAGGTGACCACGGCGAAGCAGGTGATCCTGAAAACAAGGACAGGCAGTCAAGGGCAGATGGTAGCTTGACGATGGGAGCTCGCGCTGGCTTCACACGTGGAGATCAGACGCCTCGGCACCCGCGTGCTCGCTCGCCAGATGAACCAGTGATCATGCTTGAGAAGAACCAAAACATTGCAGCGAAAACCCTTACCATCTCTGAAACTTTTGCCAGTCAACGTCACCGTACCCGGAAATGTCCCCTGGCGCCTGTGTGGTGCCCAAGAGCAAGCAGACATACCACCACCACGCAGAGGACACCGGTCAGACGAGTGCAGTGGGGCATCCTCCTGGGAGAATGCATTGCATGGAAGAGCACAGACCTGAGACATTGTGCTTCTCCGGAAGCTTATTTTCCCAGCACCTCCCCCCTCGCGGCGTGTTGGCTCAACAGAGACAGCTCAATGTCCAGCCAGGTTGTGTCTTCAACCAAGAGCCCGGGCGTCTGAAATGTCTGCGTCGTCCAAGGAGCGCGCGCGCCGCCTTTCGAGAGGGGGCGAGTCTATCACCCAATTTGATTCGCTTTTCCTTGACGGGCAGGCAGGGCTGCTTGGGCCTAGGCAGGGAACCAAACGATTTCATGAGGGGGCTCGACCCATGTCCTGACAGCCACAGCCGCTTCCACCCTGGTAGCCACACACCACGCCCAAACGTCGAGAGCCGTTGAGACCACACAGCAAGAGAATATCTCCTCTGCCGCCACCACCCATCCCGACAACCAACCAACCATGGGAGATGAGAGAGATGAGAGAGATGAGAGAGATGAGATATGAGATATGAGAGAGAAGAGAGCAGAGAGAGAGAGATGAGAGATGAGAGATGAG